CCCCAAAACCCCAAAACCCCAAAACCCCATAAGCTTAATATGAATTAATGGTGGAAAAATTTGAATTTACAAATTTGAAATTTTGATAGTTAACGAAATGATATTTGTAATTTAAAAGAGGCAGATTCCTTGAGATTATTTTGAAAATTCAAATAAGTTTAAGAGATGGTTAAATATTCTATTTATTTAAGTATTTGGGAATTTATCTTTTAAGATAAGTTAATGAGCGTTTAACTATCACTCATAGAAAGTTAAAGTGCCCGCGCAACATCTAGTTCAGATAGTATCAACCTTTGAGGTAGTAAATACAAACTCCTTTGGGTTAACGAATCCACCTTCGTTGGCAACTTGGTAAGCCTTTCTGAGTTTGCTGAGACCAACAATTGAGTCAATTACGAATGGAGTGACCAACATAATGTAGGCAACTGAGAACTCAATGAAGCCGATCATCATTACTGCTGAGAGGATAACTGAAGCAAACTAAAAAATACATCATTTGATGGTATGCTTACGTATGAGGTGAAGACATTTTGTGAAAAGCTAGATCTGAAATAGCCGACCATAGCTGAGACTGAGTAGATGGTGGCAGCAAGGGCAATAATTTATTGGACACCTGAGAAGGTGAAGAGAGCTGAGAGGGCGAAGATCATTTCGAATGAAACAATTACGAAAGAGCTAATTTTCTCGCTGTTGTTGTTATTTCTGAATTGTTGATTCTTCCAGTTGTCAGCAATGGTGCTCATTGACTTGGTAATCATAGCTTAATAGTTCTTTTCTTCGGTTTGGAAGTCTTGTCTGCTAACGAGAAGAGAAAATCCGAGTAAAGCATCAAAAGTAAGTACGGCAGTCATGAGGGTGAAGCTGATTTCAAAGCTGAAGCCGTTTACTCTGATTGATTCGAAAAGGTAACCAAGAGAAATGGCAGCAAGCTTGAGACCGGCAATGTATGATTGACTCATAAGAATGAATCTGCTGTTTGGAAGATCGAAGAAGCTGTAAAGCGAGAAGGCAGCATAGATAGTCACGAAAACACTGAAGACTGGGGCCATTTCTGAATGGATAGTGCTTAAGATTGAAAGATAGAGCTCAGCGAAGACTACTAGAATAGAAGTGATCTGAAGAGCGATATGTTTTCCCTCAAGAACGAAGACCTTGTTCTTGAAGCTCTCATTGCAGAATTCTGGCATGAATTCTTTGTCTGTCTTTGAGTAAAGATATCTCTCAATTCTTTCAAGGAGAATAGGGAGGAATTTTCTTTCTTCAGAGGTGCTTCCTTCAATAAGTTCTTATTTAAGGTTTTCAGAGAAGTCCATAACAAAAGCAGAGTAGATTGCTGACAGTGAGAAAAGACCATCAATAATGAATGGAAGTGCCATGACAAGGTATGGGATAGTCTCGTTCATATTGCCAGTTAGCTTAACTAGCATATAAATACTAAGAAGTATTGAAGAGAACTACAATTATTATTAAATAGAGAGCGAAATATCTTACGTTTGAGTGAACAAGATTCAAAGCTTTTGGGATTGACGAATAGATGGCGGTGGCTAATCCGAAACCAGCGTAGACCAAGGCAACACTTGATGCAGCTGAGTACTCTGAGATCTATATGATAAAATCATAAATGATAGTGTTTTTTGGATGATTATATCTTACATAAGAATGCGAGAATACGTAGGCACCACTAACTGATAAAACGAGTTCTGAACCTAAGACTAAACCTGCTAGTGTCTTGAATTTGCTTTCTTTATCAACCAATACTCCGTTTTTCCAGTTATTGAACATTACTGAGGACAAAAGGCCGTCTTCTTTTCTCAAACCAAGGTTCGACTATAGCATCTTTGATTAAATACTTAATATATAATTTAAGGTTAACTACTCATCTTTAATGATTAATTCAAATCGATAAAATCTTAAACTTTACTCATTAATAGGAGCACGCTCTAATTCATTAATTCTCGATTAATTTTCTTTAAATCCCTAATTGATCAATTTAAGAGCTGTGGGGTTTTGGGGTTTTGGGGTTTTGGGGTTTTGGGG